TTTGGAGGAATTTTCCTGTGATAAAAGCTGTATACAGAGAGGTATATATGATATGATCCATTTTTGTAGAAAGAAAGGCCAAGATCTGTGTGCGTGTTTTGTATGTGCCTACGGAGATAAATGAAAATGAACATGAACACACATTCTTACACAAAATTGTTTGGCTGTTATCTGACTGCATTCCTTTGGGAAATAGAAACTTTCTTCTCCAGCTCCACATACCGCTTCCCCTCAAAAACAAAGGAATAAACAAGACAAACAAAATTAAAGTAGGGTCTCCACTGGGCACCCCATTGGATTTTTTAATTATTCCCATTATATCTAAGTCCATCAAGTTGCCTTAGCAACATGACTGCCTGACTGCCCCCATATAAGGAAGGGAATCTTATACTAGATTTAGCAGCACAGTCAAAATTTATTTATTCACCCCTTTTTTCAACAACAGTGTTTTCACCTAAAAATAGTTAGTGTCTCCACTGAATCATGCAATTTAGAGTCTAACATGATCAATGAGACATGGCCCCAGCCCTAACTATGAGTAGGTGCCAGGCACATAAGAAGATCATCATGTCCCAGACAAAGTCACGATGACAGGGGAATTAGAGTGCTGAGGGAGCCCAGAAGAGATTGAAAGCCAGTCAGAAACAAGCTATGCTTATTTTCTTTCGATTCATTCTTAGACTAGATCTTAGGAATTGAAGCCTCTGTTTATTTTGCACTGTTGTTTGAAATGAGTGAACTCATTTTTATTATAGCAGTGTATTACTGAGTTGAATTTCAGCAATTTTTAAATAACATATACAGTCAAGATTTTTATAGAACACATTCCTTTGTGTTGTATTTGTTCATCAAATACTCCATTCCTTGTTCCTGGAACATCTGGAATTCAGGGAACTTTGGGTTTGTTCACGAAAATAGTTACATATTTTCATGTATGAAAAAAAGTGTAGGGACACCTGGGTGGCTCAGTTGGTTAAGCAGCTGCCTTTGGCTCGGGTCATGATCCCAGCGTCCTGGGATCGAGTCCCACATC